AGAAATATAGCCTCTCAACTCACCCCAGAACAGGGTTAGAATCTGCATGTTAGCAAGAACCCCAGCTGATTTCGATGCATTTGAGAAGCACTGCTCTAAGATACCCGGGAACCACAGAAAGCAACACTAAGGGGATTTGGTTGCTTCTGTAGAGTGAAAGTTGGACCACATGAATTCTGTGGCCTAAGGATAGAATTCTGGCATTTGAGTCTTTCTGGTCTGTAGACTTAAGCTCCTCCCTCTTATTTTCTTTAATTTGGCCTCATAAGGCACCCTGCCTTCTCCGGAATGTAAACATCCTTAAGTGAACTTGCCTTTTGCGAAAGTGTTAAAAGGGGCACTGTATACCCCTGAGTGCTCTTCCCCTGAGTGTGCTCTGCACACGGGGCCATTAGCTAATTGTTACCATCTACATCACAGGCCACAGCAGCCTGGGTCCCGGAGGCTGCTTTTCAATTCTGCTCACTCTCCAAGGGCTCCGTGGGTAGGTGTGGTGCACTTAGCTGTTTTCTGCTGCTGGGTGTAGGCTATTAGTCCACAGGACCAGTCCTATGGCAGGGTGTCACTGGCCTGGGAAAACTTTCCTAAAACATAAGCTTGGCTTTCAAAGACGTGGATTTGAGCAGTTTGTAGACCTCTTAGAATTTGTATTCTCTCTAGACCTGAGATGATGTAACGATTGTGATGGTGCCTGGGAGCAGCTGCCCACACTGCCTCCTCTGCCCTCTCTCTTCCCTCCCCTCACCCACAGCTTTCACTCAGGCTTGTTTTTAGAAAACAGAATAGAGCAATGAGGGGGTTGACAGAGCTGGGAGATTGGTGAAATTGACCTGCCTTTGTCTCAGCTTATGAGGTAGTGTAGGCAGTTGCTGGTTCTGCCAAATTAGGAAGGAACAACAGTGAAATCCCAGACTCTTCCTCACCCCACCCCGCCAAAGCAGGGTGAATATAGAGTTGTGGCCTAACCTAAATAAAGCTTGATTTTTATTCTTAATGGTTTTGCCAAGATTACTCTGTTCTTTTCAGAGATTTTAAGTGGATGTTGAAATACCCAAGTCATTCCAGGCACTAGAGATGAGGAAAGGCTTAAAATTTGCCAAGACACGCTTAGGAGATTCAGACTTAGCATGTGAGCATGTGTCTGTTGTAACTTGGGCTAGATTGAGGCCCCTCAAACCTCAGTGTAGCCTCAGAGCTCCATGCTTACATGAGATGCGTCCCCTGCACAACAAACAGGTAAGCCAAAAGGTGGTCAATAAGTGCATTGAATGAAGTGCTTCCTTTGTCCTGGCCAATACATACAGAGCAGCT